ATCATTTTACTGCAATTTATTTAAAGGCTGTGGTACTACTCTTTTGGACCTTTACATAATATATACATGCATTTAACTATTGTACTATACCTTACACATAAAATTAATGTCTCAAATATTTTAAGATTGCATAAAGAAAACCCACTTTAGTTATCAAAGGTTCCAGTTGTGTCCTTTTTCACTTTTAAAACTCATGTGAGGTACTAAATACCCAAGTATTCTTCCAGCTTTTTTTTTTTTTTTTGTACCGGGGATTGAACTCAGGACCTTGCACTTGCAAAGCAGGCAGAAAAACCATTGAGTTAAATCCCCGGCCCTTTCCAGTTTTGATTCACCTACCTCTCAGCAGTTACTAAATACAGTGGTATCTCGGCTCACGAACACTTTTGTTTGCAAATAATTTAGTTGGCAAACAGCATTTGACAAAATTTTGTTGTTTGCGAACTCTGCATCAGGTGACGAACACAGCCGTGGCCATCTTTCCCGCACAAACATGAACATGGCTATCTTTTCTAGAATCATGGAATGAATTAAGTTCGTGAACCAAGGTACCTCTGTACCTCTTACATATATGAGTTGCTTATGCTGTCTCTGCCTGAAATTCTCAGTCCTAGTCCCCCCAACCTCCAATCTTTTCTTTTGGTACCAGGGATCAAAATCAGCACTCTGTGCTTGCGAGCCAGGCGGTGGCACCACTGAGCTAAACTCACCCCCCAATCCTTTTACCTGGCTTACCTCTCAGCCTTTAAGATGCAACTCTAGTAGAGCTTTATTCATAATAGTTCAAAAATAGGGGGCCAGGGATTTAGCTCAGTGGTTTCGCCACCTGTTGCGCAAGCGCAAGGACCCGAGTTCAATCCCCAGTACCAAAAAAAAAAAAAAAAAAAAGTTCAAAAATAGAAACAATCCAAATGTTCGTCAACCACTGAACTGATAAATTGTAGTATATCTTTACAATGGACTACTACTCAGGAATAAAATGAACTTGTTTGGATGGACGGATGGACGGACGGACACACACACACACACACACACATATGATTCACAAACATAACAGCCACTGTCTTTGTAGAAAGGTTGGAAGCATAAACTGGTTAGACTAAAGGAATCTTCAGGATTGATGACAATGTTCAGTATCTTTGACAGGAGACTGAAGTGAAAACAATTTTAAGCATATGCAAAACAGCAAATATATACTTACAGTTTGTGTATTCACTGTATATGTTTTATAACAGGAAAAACAGTTCAACTTTTAATAATATGCATGCTGAAGTATTTAAAGGTAGGGTACCCATGTTTGCAATTTATTTTGAAACATGTAAAAGATGAGACAGGTCGATATTTAGCAAAACCAATTCTTTCAACTTTATGTGTAAAATTTTCTTGATAAAATGTTCAGGTGAAACACAAGTGTCAATACTACAGGAAGGCCCCTGAACGCACCCACTGTTAATGTCCCTGGTCTGTGCTCTCATACTCACTCCATTTTATTAGTACTGCATCAGCATCCCAACTCCTAGGAGCTACTGACAATTTCAAAAAAAAAGCCTGTCTGGTCTTTGGGTACCCAGCAACTAGCACAAGGTTAGGCACACAGCAGACAGTAAAAAGATTTTTTGGCCTAAAGAGAAATTTATTACCTAGTTTCCTCATAACCAAAGGCCTTGTGCTTTACTGACTCATTTATCCCCCACTACTCCTGGTACTGTGGATTGAAACTAGGGCCTAGAGACACGATGGCAAGCACTTTACTACTGAGCCACAACCCCAGCCTTTTTTATTTTCAGACTGGGTCTCAGGAAGTTGCCCAGGCTGGCCTCAAATTTACAATCCTGCCTCAGCCTCCCAATAGCTGGTATTACAGGCATGTGCCACCACAGCCAGCTCATTTTCTTTTGCTGAATCACAGTTACTAGAATAATCTATCTTACCTGGTACTCATCCATGTGACTCCTTAAGTTTCCTTTGTGGTAGGACTAAAGACATCTCTTTTAGGTTGTTTTTTTTTCCCCTTGTCTCCCAACTTTTAAAACTACTAACAAGTAACTACTGTATTGATGGGCTCAGAGCTAAGTTTTAATTTATACCTTCTTTATAAAAGCCAGTTGGACAACATATTAAGGACAATGATTATTCACACCACTCAATTCTACAGCCAGCAAGATTCCTTTAAAATGCACCACAGCATGATAATGCACAATTTTGTCTTTATGCTACACCAAGCATACTATCATTTTACGTATCAAATGGTTTCAATGCTTTGTGGATCACGATGCAGCTAGATTTCCTGGGCTTAAATACCAACCCCCACTATTTACTAACCATATAACCTTGTCTAAGGTATTTTAAAATTTGAAGTACCTCATTTTCCTTACCTCCTCTTGAGTTTTTAAAAAGGAGAAGAAAAGGTTAATAATAGTATTTCCTCTTGTCAGGAGGGTTAATGAGTTATTATAAGTAAATCACTTAAAACTGTTGCCGGCTATTAGCTATCATTTCACATGTTCAGTTCTGAAACACCAAAGACAGAAGACTCACATGATCTATAAAATAGTCCAAATGAACAAAATGTTCACTAATAAGAATCTCTTTTAATCCCAGCACTTGGCAGACTGAGGCAGGAATGATTGCCATGAGACTGAGGCCAGCCTGAACTACATAGTGAGACCCTATATCAAAAAATAAAAAGTATATAATGCAAATCTCGTTAACACATTCAAGACAGAATTTTCAGTAAGAATAAATTCTTTTTCAACCATCATCTAAGGTAGAATTCTCTCTCAATTTCGCTGCCTCGAAGTTTTCCTTTCCAGCACATATTACAAGTTTTATTTGTTTTCTCCATTGAATCTATGAAGGAAGGACCGCCAACCCATGCCTGGCACGTAGTAGGCATTCAAATATATCCCGAATAAACAATGTAGACATCTCAAAGTGTCTTTAACACACATCAGATAAAAATTAAAGCAATAATGGTTACAGAGTATTTTAAATAACCCAATTAGGGATTTAGTCTCATTTAAAAAATATATGATTTATTAAATATAAAATGGTGATGTTTTCTATAAATATTCCCACTCAAACACATGTAATATAGCTAATTGATAGATCATTTAGAGTCACCCTTCCCCTTTGATTACAAGAGATAAAACATACAACATACTGTAGGTTTATTTTTATTCAAAAAGTTACTGTCTCAAGACATAAATACAAATCAGAAAACAGTACAATTAGGACAATAGAATGTGGAGGACAACAGGTTAGAGTAATATATAAAACATTTTTAGCTGGTTGAAAACAAAGCTGTACGAACTGCTTTCACAAAGAAGTACTCCCCTCAAGAGTGAGAAAAAAATCAACTTAGGTTTGAAATCATATATACAGTCCTCTCAGCAGTTCTAGTAAATGCAGTGGTGTAAAACAACATATGCAATACTTTTGCACATAACAATATTTGTTGATGGAAAATCTGTTAGACGAGTTTGGTTTCATTTGTTAACCATGATTTAATAAAATAACTGTTATTTTATCATGATCTTTTAGCTAACCTATGGTTTTTGGCTACCACAGCCCAATGCTTATTGATTTCTGACTCTTAAAAACTGGAAGCCTTTTGGTATTCACCCATCTGAAGATATTCTTGTATTGCAAGCATATTAAGGCATGGAATGATTAAAATAATAACCTCAAGAACTGAGAGATGACTGACAAAAGATAGATACACATGTGATATAAGTTAATATTTTGTTTTAAACGATGTCTAGCTGCCTAAGCCTCGCAAAATGAGTTGATGTCAAAATGGCAAATAGCCACTTTCTGTTTTAAACTAATTCATTTGTGAAAGGACATAAAATGAAGTTTAAAGCTTAGCTTTCAAAGAATATTATGGGTTATGAATTCTATTATCCCATCTAATTTACATACAGAGGAAATGTACTGTAACCTGTTAGGAGTATCTTTAACCTGAAGACTGCTTGCAAAGACAGATAGATAAAACAATATAAAATACAAATTTAAAAATCATTTTAAAGCATGAACACTCATGCTTTTCTATTTTTAAACATTGTTAAACTTTCAATATATTTCTGAAACCTCATAATTTTAAGTTGGAATTTAAAAGTAAGAAAAAACTAAACAAACTGCGCAATTATAAAATCAGCACCAATTTATATAT